GAACGTGATATCCTACTAAAAGGAAAAAATATGAAAACCGAGGTTTGTAAAAAAACACACTTTTTTTTTGTCAACCTGAGAATTCCCATTTTGATAAAATCAGGGAATGTTTAGACGGACTCAATTTAGAGAAATCTTTGTGCACTCCAAAATAAAAACATAAAAAAATAAATAAATAAAAAAAATAAAAAATGAAACGGAACGGAACGTGGTTCGCAGCAGTTAAAAGAGGGGTTGGTTTCAGTCTGAAATTTGTTTCATCGAAAGCGCAAATTTTGGACAGATACGTATTTTTCCTACAGTCTTGTAAATTTTCCTTCACATCCTAAATACCTTTATAATATAGTTATGCAGCACATGGATCGTTAGCCCATCAAAAATTGTCCTCCTAAATGTTTAAGCGTTACGGATGCTTCTCTGAGAATATTTGCCGCGCGTTTTAACGGCATAATTTTTGCCCAATTCAAGTTTTTTGTTAAGGAAAAACCTAAAAATAGATCAGAATGGATTATAGATAAAAATTGGGGATCTCCCGTCAGAACTGTATGTGGGAGTTTACAAAAAACTCATGCGTAATTAAGTCATGCGTGAGACTATGGTTAACTAAGGTTCATGTATACCGGTGAAAATAATGCATACTTTTAATAATACTTTCCACGAATAAAAAGTGGCAAGGTCTGCAGAGTAGAAACTCATTACATGGAGGAACGTGGCAGACCATTTTAACTGAACTGAAACTGTTTTACCAGACATTGTAGGAAAAGAATATTATGGACAAAAATTTAATGATTTGTCATAATTTATATGTTGCAAATACTTTTTTATTTATTTTATATGTCTTGGATTATTGACCTGGGCCTAGAAATTCCCGTGAAATTTTCCACAATTTTAAAATGTTCCTCAAAATCCCTCCAATCAGGAAGATCGAATTATTCCTCATTTGAATAATTGAAATACTTAGACATAATTCGTTGCTTCAAGAGTATGTTGCACAAATTTAGCATGACAAGACAATTATATAAAATTAATAATAATTATAAAAAAAGAAAACAAAAAAATCGGGAATGAATCAGAAATGTTTGTGTTTATTTATTGATTTTGTTGCCTCCCACGCAACATTTTAAATATTCCTGTGCAAATAAAAAATTAAATCCTTATTATTTAAGAGATACTCAATATCGTCAAATGATTGTTCTTTTTAAGCACCAATGTAATGAAATGCTCAATTATAAACTTAGAAAAATTAGTTTCAAGTCAACCATTTACATAATCAATTGAAAAACGTACTAAATAGATTGTTCAAATTGAAGAGGGAAACAGTACTGGACTTTCCTTCAGTTTTTTCGATGAAATATTATGTTTTATCTATTATTCCTCTATTATTTTATTAGAAGACGATTAGAATGAATTTGTTTTCCCGCCAAAGCACTACAATAAAGCACTAAAAAAGATGGGAAAAAATGATCAATTTGCCAATAAAAAATAACATAGAAGGGAGGGGGAGAACTGCATAGCTCCGGAATAATAAATTCGTATCGCATTCAAAATTTTACTGCTGATCCGTGGGTTAGACTGAGAAAAACGTTTTTCTTCACGAATGTCTAATTGTAAGCACGAGCACTTCGTGACGTCATTCCCGAAAATTATTTCTTGATTTTTCAATCTGTTCAACAATTCGTTTGAGATTCATCTAAACCATTGGTAATTCGTTTTAGGGCCTCTTTAAGATTAAACTTGAGAATGCTAATACTGAGCATCGTTCCATAATTTTTTACTTTATACAATTTTAAATATATTGTTATACGGTAACAATGGATTGCTCATTGCCCTAGGATGAGCAAACACCGGGATTTTTTTAAAAAGTGAAATTTATCTACCCATAAGACATTTGAGCCTCGGCGTCTTTTAAAATAAATATCAAGCTCAAATGTATCCTTTCATACACAAGCACCACGCAAAATTTAAATGTTTCATCAATCACTATTATATACACTATTATTTTGCAAATTACTAATTCGATGTCTCTGTGTTTGCTGTATAAATTCATTACCTACAATTTATTTTCGTGCACAATAACACGGAGGTATGCTATGTCAAAAAGTTCGATTGCGGAAGCGGTAAGAATTTTTGCACATGAACATGAACATGAAGCAACATACATTCGTGTCAGTGTAACACACCGTGTGTAAACGAACTATATACTGACACCTGTGAGATACTTAATAATAATTATACTAAAGTAAAAGGATAATATGAGAAAACATTTTTTATGGTGTGCGCCGTTGCAAAATTCATTCCGATAAACCTGTACACGTGTAAAGAAAGTACCCTATTTTAATGGACTATACTTTTTTTCAAAAAAATAATAAATGAAAAAAACCCGCCACTTGAAGCCGAGATTAATTTTTTGCGTATTTTACGTCATGAGCCAAACATGTACTAGTTTTTTGTAATCACTTCCCAAACTCTAATATAGCGAAGCTATGTGAGTTTTTCCGAGGCAAACCATCGGGGGATTGATCGAAAGCAAGCAATGGAACTCGGCTTTTTTTGCCAGCGGCAAAACACATTTAAACCACACGTGGACTACAAAGGGAAAAACCGCCACCAAGATTCAAGGTTAGTCAGGAGCCCAGCACCTTTTGTTAGTTAACGTTTGACTGAAACTTGTGACTTACTGCAACATTTTATTGGCTTTTGGTAGAGATTTAGGGGTTCCCTGCTGTTGTTGTTGTTGGCGTCACTTTTCAAGCCACTAATGGTGTTTATCATTCCTGACCCGGCTCACATTTTTCCGGAACTAGCTAGGACGACGCTTCAGACACTTTTCTACGCCGCACTCGCTTCTAGTTTTCAGAGAATCCAACGCCACGCACAAACTAAAAAAAATGTCTGTCAGTACGTGATTGCATGAGCGTTGCGCATTATTCGCACTTCAAACATCCATAGGCACTGTTCTCGAATCAATCGCGAAATTTTACAAATCCGCGGAACCAACTTTTATGTGATAGTTAAAATGGCGCCAACTTCACACTGACCCTCTGATCCAATCGTTGCAATCCAATGTCCTCGCAACCTTCAAAATACACATTAAAATGAGTAAAATTCTACGTAAATTTGCACGTAAGAACATTTCATTTTCGCGATTACCATAAAAGATAAAGTTAAAAAAAAATATATGATAATAAATCTCTAATCAGATAATGATTGGGCAAGATAAATTTTCATAAAATTTTAAAAAAAATGGTGTGATGAAGTCTATGTAATTAGTAAAAATGAATGACACAATATCCAGACTCACTCGGCGCATCCATGCGTTTGATATTCAGGGAAGTCAGGTATCAGGCGTGAAGGAACATTGAGGGATTGTTGAGTGTAGTGGAGAAGGAAGTTGGTGACCGCACATAAAGCAAGCTAAGCATACTTAAAAGCTTGAGTAGGAATTTTTCGTTTAGAATTCGAGGGCATCCATGAATTTCAAAAGCCTAGAGAAAAGAGTTTCAACACATATTAAGCAGGCAGACATATTACAGGAGTAGTATTTTACGGGTAAAAGTAAGCGCCCATAAAAGGCTTTTTGGATTTTCTCTTCCTTTCTTATCTCTAAATATATTCGCACGTGTAAATTAAGAATGTCTTTGATACGAGAGTTAATTGACTGGAATGTTTATGATTTGACTTGGAAAACTGAAAATATTTCTCTCGGATGCCGGTGTATCTTTTGAAGAGTGGTGTTGCCAGCGAAAATTTTAGTGCTAAACGGATAGCTAAAATCGCATGCTAAGTAAAAGTTTCATGCCACGTGGATTCAATTAATTTTGATTGGAAGGCTAATGCACACTTATATTAGCTGAAAAATAGACTTATCGTAAGGTCATCAATGTTTACACAAGGCACACGGCTACGAGTATAGAAATTTGTGAGGATGGGGTACAACAAGACACTCTGCTTTCATACTGGCATAAAACTAAATGCTGTAGATACAAGCAAAGGAGAGGTTAGTAAAAGTAAGGGAGAGTATAAGAGGCCAATTGTTAAATGTTACAAATGCCGGTTGCAGAAGTTTAACGCGGGATGCGATTAAGTTGAAGAGTAAATTGATAAGGAAGTGTGAGCATTCAGAGGATGCGGGGGTTAGACGAGGGATGAGGGTTAAAATAAGCACATAGGGAATACAAATATTCGAAGATGCTGGGTCAACACGAGTGAATTTAGGGTTACCACTATCACGTATAAAATATTCAAAGTAACGAAAAACTTTAGCGTCAAGTCATGAATCCGAGGGCAAAGAATCGAGCAATTATAATTATTATTGAAGAATGAGAAGTTAATCTAAAGAATCACATAGTAAATATGAATTATTGAAGGATCAGAAAGAAGGGAGATTTTATGGAAGACGATTTTAAGTAACTCGGCCTGTAAAACGCAGGATATGTATTAAAAGAATGCGTATCTAAAACTTTGGATCGTACCTCGTTATTTTAATTGTGAAATGTAGACATTTAGGAGACTTGATGCGAAAGATGAGGGTGGTTTTCAAAATGTAAAGAACAGTGTCAAAGCCGGTCAATGTATTAATTGCGAGTATGAATTTAGCTGGTTAAATTGATGATATCGAGCGTCAAAAATAAATTAAATAAGTCAAATGATCGATGATAACATTTGTGAAGATGAAATATCCTTGAATGGATGCACCGCACCTTTTCAAAGGGGTTGAAACAGAGACGAAGCACACACGTTTCTTGGGAAGAGAGTCAGGAGGGAGAGGAGTATGACACAACAGTGAAGGATAATAGCTAAATGCACAGCAATGATATTTTCAAAATACTGAAGGGATTGAAGAATTATTCTCGAAGATTACACTACACACTCGTGAAGGGGAAGGGGGTAAAGACACAGTAGGGTTTGTAGGATGGGTGACACTTGTTGGAGTTCAGGACACGTGGGGGAGGGGTTGAACATTGGGGTAGGTGTGCTGAAGGGTTGAATCGGGGACCCACCTGGGAGGATCGGTTGCGGCGACAACTGCGAGACGGTTAGGTCCGAGCAGGACTCATGCAAGGAGGGGTCGGAGCCCCTGAGGACGCGCTCGCACAACTCCTGGCGGGACTCGGACTCGAAGGGGGGCTCCTCGTCGGAGGGACACGGGACACAGCTGGGCAAGAGGTCGAAGCGAAGCAACTGGGAGTCGAGGGAGTCGAGCGACTGGGAGCGGGGCGACACGGAGACGCACACCCGAAGCTCCGGCTCCGGCTCCGGCTCGAAATCGGTTCCGACGGAGATGAGGTCCGGCGACGGCGACAAGTACCGCGACTCGGGCTCAGACTCAGACTGGAGATGGAGAGGCAGCAGTTCCTCGAGTTGGGCCGGCGACACCCGATCAGACTCCAGAGTCACACACCCCCGCCACGCGAGAATCATGCAGCCGACCAGCTGACCAACCCGACTCAGCACCAACACACACGGACACCGCACCGCACTAGAGGCACCGTTACACCACCAGCACCACCATTCGAAGGAACCAACACGTTTCCTCGCTGCCCGAATGCGATGCGAATACGATGAGATGAGATGCGAATCCCGACTCCCGACTGCGCTGCGGAGCTACTCGCGGGCGCGGCGCTACGGTTCAGACTGAGCCGCGCCGCGCTCCGTTCCCATTATAAAACTTCCCGCCGCCACGTCAGAGCCGTGACGTCGACGATCGATGCGCCCGAGCGCGAGCCTCGCCATTGGCTCCCGCCCGCCCCGTGACGTCGCAACAGTGACGTCCGTTCCGTTACGTCAGCCGTGAGGTCCCTTATCGATTCGCCCTCTTTCCCCCGTTCGGGGCGCGCGGCTCCGTGGGAACGCGAGCCGTCGTGCGCCCCTCGGCCGAGCATCTCGTGCTCACTCCCAATCTCCCCTCCCCCAACCCCACTCCATCCCTCCCGCCAAGACACACCTGCCTCAACCTTCCATTGAAAAACCCTCAGCACGTGCATATCCCTCTTGGGCCCAAATCCACCACTATACAAGGACCAAAATTGAGGACCATGTATACGATTCTTCCTCGAATTTTCACTCCAAAGTCCTGTAAACACGTTAAAATTCCCAATTGAATTCAAGCGTAAAAAAGCGGGGTTTTTTCGTCAATTGAACGTATTTTTGCGAATCAGAAATATATGCATTAGGACGTGGGCCCTGCTTTGCATATATTCTTATGCGTCTCAGGGCTCATGTCTTAATGCACTTAGTTTGACAGAAATATGTCCAATTGAACTTCATGTTACGATAAGAAACGACTTTTTCAGATTCATTCTAGAAATAGCGTGTGTCTCACTAGTTTTTCCACGAAGACAGGTTCTTTTAGGCTAAGTTAGGAATCCTTGATTGAAAAATGGAATCCCATTCAAACTTCCCGTTCATGAAGAATCAAACTTTTTTTTTAGTCAAGTCTATGCACATTTAGGGAATACAATTTTTACAATCCGATCCGTACTTAGGAGCAACCGGCAGATGTTTTCCCTGTTCTCACTGCGCTGCACGAAATTTTTCCTGTGCCCCACAGTAATCATGAGCATGTGAGGTCAAAATTAGCTTCATTTTTCCTCGTGGGTTTTGATTTTCTGACAGGAGAGAGTGTACATTCATTAATAAGAAAAATTAATTTTAACTCGGGTTTTTTGTGGCTAAAAAAATAGCTTAGTTCCTTCTATTCAAATGCAATCCAAAGGTAATTCCACAAAAAATGAACCTCAACGTGCAAAGGTGAATGTTGCGGAAAAGAGACTTTGCGGCTGGTCAGGTAAAAAAATTGGAATCTAATTTTTTGCACGGAAAACATGCCAAATTAATCCCGAAAAAATGAGGCTCAAACAGCTTACTTAAATTTTGCGGTGATACTAGGGAAGAAATATTTTTACGGTACTTTCGAAAATTTTGAACCCTGAATATGTCATTGTCCAAATTTTTTTAAACTTCAAACAACTTATTTTTAAAACCACTTTTTTGTAGTTTTCAATTTGTCATTACAGCAAGCTTCTTCGACGGATAGAATTTTTTTTTTCTCATAATTTTCGTAAAACACTTGCTTAAGCAGAGAGGTGCCAATGTCTCAATGTAGTTTTTCTTGGCTCTAAGCTCCCCTCTGCCATGGGCGGTTCCAAATTTACTTCGGTACTTGCAGTAATTTTACGACTGTAAAATAATTAAAATACCAGTGAGATACGATTCTGATAACTTCCAGATTATATTTCCTCGCGTAAGAACATTTTTAATAGGTTTTACCTTAAAATGCAAACGAGACGTTTAGAATATTGCATATATGCCCCCTCCCTCTCCAACCCTCCAAAAAAATAAGATCTGACTGTCCGTATGATAGCTTTTCATTTGTAAGCCACAGAGCAGGAGGGTAGCGAGGTGGTCGCGGGGGAACTTACGATTTTTACGGTCGAGAATCTTTCTGTCTCTCAAGAGAAAAATCGTAACCATATGTGACTATACTTAATATCACCGAACGCTCTAGAGAGTATATGGTCCAATGCTATTCCTGAGGGTAATTCTACCCCTAAAATAACCTACAAGGAAAAAACGATCGATTGCTTCCCCTCGTAAACTTCTCGCACAGTGGTCAGAGGTTTGAAAATATTTCAACCACATACTTGGACCCCAAGCCACATCAGCTGTTGCCAAATTTAACTGGGCAATTTAATTTTTCAAGAGAGAACGTTAATGCGAATTCCTTTGAAAATTTTAAGGAATTTGCTTCGCACTATGGATCAAATTCACAGAAATTTGCAAGATAATCCGCACCAACCGTCTTTATTAAAATTATAACCCAATTATTGAATTTGGCGATAGCTGATGTGGCTTAGTACCTTTCTGTTTAACGCGGTCCAATTATTTAGATCGTTTGATTTGTATCACAAAATATTTTGTTAAATTTTGAGGATCGTATGATTAGGATCACTGTCAAAAAATGAACCATGTTAGCCAGCGGAAAGCTTACACAACTGAGAATACCTGGCTTTTAAATTGATCTATTTTTCTCTCGTGTATTGCAGTTGGTTGAAATTTGAAAAAGCAAGTTCTACTCTTAGCTATAACGTATTAATGTATAGTATCACAGCACGTATGAAACTCATGCGATTTGGAAACTTGACATTAGCCACTCAATAAGTTGCTACACCCACGGTGCAGATCCAATTTTTCTGTTGTGATATACCTGGTTTGAGTTTTTCTTCTTGTCCCTTTTGCGAATAAGTACATGAAAAGTGTTGAGTAAATACGAACTATAATACTGCCGTGCTAAGGAAAAACGCCGCATGAACCTTCAGGCGTTGTCAAATTTCCTTTGGTAAATCACAAATTTTCGGGAAAATTTGTAAATATATTTCTTTCAATTATCCGGAATATTTGGTCCGCCATTTTACCTAAAGTTCCTGAAAATCTCAAGGAAAATTTTTTTTACCTTTCCTTAAAAAAAGACATTTTATCGAAGGAAATTTGGCAACTCTCGAATTTTCATACGGCATTTTTCCCTAGCATGGCAGAGTAAATACTCAGCATTTCATAATTCGATAGATATCGATCTCCGGATCGGTCTAGGACGTTCGATAGGGATACTTTGGGATGCTATTCGTCACTGGAAAACTCGCTCAATCCTGAGACGCATTTTACTTTGCGTTCCATTTCTCATATCAACCGAGGCTTAGTGTTATTTTCAGTGCAGTTTCGGAGTGTTCCTCTCAGTGCAGCTAGTTGCCTCGGAGCAGGAGAAGTCATTGGACGCCACAGAATGTCTCACGGTTGAAGCGTTTCAAACGCATCGCAGACCCCGATATCACTAATTGATTGATTGATTCGCTACCGAGTCGAATAAATAAACTTTGGATCACTGGAATAACACGAGTGATGATGCGTCGGCCAATCAACCATCGAGTAGGAGGGATGAAACGGGGGGAAAAGAGGAGGGGGGGAGTTGGAAAATATTTGGCGACCGAAGTTGAGCATGCGCGGGGATACGTTCGTTGGGGTAGGGCGCGGGTCCCTCTGCATTTTCCCTGTTGCCAAGTCGACGGAGAGGGCGAATTTTCTCGACGTGGAGTTGGGGTATTTTCTCGCGGCGAGGCACCGTTGAGCGCGTGCATCGGCGAGCGTTGAATGGTGCATTCTCTGGCCCACTGACAACTCGATGATCTTCGACTCATCGCACTCGGTTGCTTGGATTTTTATACATTATACATATATACGTGTATAAGTCTCATCTCGAGGAAATCGCGACTCGTTAGGGAGATGAACTCGGCGGCATCGACGCGCTCATGACGAAAACTTTCCCAAGTATGCCTTCTATTCAGTTTCAATTTGAGTGATGGGAGTGGTGGCGCGCCGTGCAGTGCGTCTCCGCGAGGAGTCAACGCCCTTCGGGACCATGGCCGAAGAATGGATGCGGTTCACCACCTATGCATATTCCGTCATTTTGTCATCATGGATAATGGATATACTGCAGGGCCCTGGAATTCGAAACCCAAGCGACGAATGGACCGGTCATCCTCATCCTCAAAAAGAACCAGAGATGATGCCTGTCAAACTGGTCAAGTCTGACATATTTTTCGTTTGGTGCCGAAATCAGCTAAGAAAATGGTAGAATCTATCATCACTTGGACGTATTTCTGCCAATCGGAACCAAATATAGGTGGGGGAGAAGGAGTGTGCTCGTTAGTCGAGGCCCGTAAGAATGACTGGGAATTATAAAGCGCCAGTGACGTCAGCGACAATGAAGCCGTCTCTGCCGTCGCTCTTGGTCGGCGTTAACTCATGGACCTTGTCCACTACGCTCTTTCCTCATGCCCATGGCTCATGAGTGCCGATTCGGTTGGCACATAGTTCCGTTTGACAGAATGTAAAATCCCGCTTTACCATTTCTCCAGAGGGAATCACGCCACTGTATCATTGTTTCTTATGCATATTTTTACAGCACACCCCATCTTTCCCACTGGCCACTTGTCTATAGTTCCGTTTGGCAGAAATACGTCCACTTTTTTTTTTTGCCTGAAGCATCTGGAGTGAGCAATGTACATTCTACTTATGACGCTTGATGCAATACACGGCACACCAAATGCTATCAGGACGGACGGTGGAAATCACTGAGAACCCGAAAAACGGAGCTGTGCATTGGGTCCGTTTTCGAAAATTCCGTAATTTGTGGGTCGGCAGGTTCGGCGCAGATGAAACGGACCTGGTGAGACAGCGGAAACCGTGACAGACCGTTTGTAACGTTATTCATAAAAATAATGGGAGCCAGTGGCGAGGCGCGCTTTGCGATATATCGATTGCTTTTCCATTTAAACCTATGAGAAAGGATCGATAAACAGGGTGTTCGCAGCGAACACCTTAATAATCGATTCTTTACCACAGCTTTAAATGACGAGATATCGATAATCGATCATTCACGCCACGCCACTGATGGAAGCGTAGGAGCGGGAGGGGATGGCTGCGGATCGCTGATGCTGATAGATGAGAAATCGACTGCACTGACGAGAAATGTGTGAAAAAACGACAGGTGATCGATTGGCTACAATCTTACGCATGCCGAACGATCACGAATCCCTAACCAGCTTACTGAAGATAAGTAGGGCC